GGCCTTCAAAGCACGAGCATCGGGGTTTCCTGTGTCTCTGACAGAAGGTCGGGTTTCAGAGTCCAGCTCCACGCTGCAGGAGGAGGAAGAGCGAGTTCGGCTCGACAGAAGGTTTTTTGTGCGCCATCCTCGTCCTCCTGAAGGACGCCACAGACTGCGAGCTGTGTTCTTCCTGCTCGGCCGGCCCAGGCTAAGAATAGTCTGATGCTAATGTCCTGCTGCTGGTGCACAATGAGCTCCTTCAGAGAGACAGAAGAACCAGATTTAACTCTGGTGTTTACTGTGAAACCCTCGGTCACTTATTCTCACTCGCCTCTTCTAAATCTGCTCAGGATATTTTGAACACGTCCCACTCGCTGCTGAATTTAACTAGCCGTTATTTTTCACCTCTGCGGCTCCTCCACACTGACCTCCTCTCCACCGCTTCCTGTTGTCCATCCTCCGTCAGTTACACTGACAGGTGCAGTAATGTGAAGGGGGCAAAGCTACGTGTGTGACTTAGAGTTTGAGCCGCCCTTCTTGTCTTATCTCTGCCTTCAAACGTTGATCCTGCAGGTCTGGAAGGACGGCGTTGGAGGAGCACTCAGCAGCCCATCAATCATCTTCATTTATCAGAGTTTTCCATGAATGGAGGGATGAAGGAGGGCAAATACACACTAAGAAACTTGGGCAGGGAGGCAACAGCAGCTCAGAGGAGAGGGAGGGGCTAATGTGATGGTAAATATCGGCCTATCGTTGTTTGAGTTTCTTTTTTTTCAGCCGGGGCTGAAACGAAGGAGAGAGAGGGCGTGGACTTTAGAGGGCACGAGGTCACGCTGTGTGTATTTGTCGTGTTCAGCAACGGAAGCACGTACAGGTCTTTGTTTACACACTGCACAATCTCAGGTTTTTATTTTATTTTGACCTCCTGCTCACGACCTGTGACGTATCCAGAGTATCGGCAGACACGCCTCCTCTATATGTCCCAACGCTGAGGTCATGGAAAGTAAAAAAAGCCATGTGGAAGGAGAAGTTTGTCTTCTTCTTAAAGGAAGAGTGTAGTGTGTGTGTGTCCAGCTGAAGGCTAATGATAGCAACATGCTAATGCAGAATAGAATGGGTGGGAGTGATCACAGGTGTAAAACGCCATCACACCTGGCCCTGTGGTGCAGGTTGGTGGGTAGGAGTCTGTCGCGTGTAGCTCATAGTTCGCGGTCGGTGCCGGGCTTGCAGGACAAAGCGTGAGGAAGAGGAGGAGGAAGGCTCAACAGCTCTTAGTTTTTGTTCACAGAGGCTGACGATTACTGCAGGTGTTCTCACATCAAACACATCTGGACACATCTGTTCTCAGCCTGCTGTCTGAGCAGCCCGACGTAGACTTATACTGGTTTGTGCTGCCATTTAACTGGGACCATTTTCTCTGTTTTCCTGGAGAGCTGGAATGAGATTGGTCAGGGTGTGGAAGCTGAAGAAGAGGGAGGAGGTGTGGGAGTGTTTTCTCAGAGTTGGGTCATAAAGAGGTGGTGGGAGTGGAGGTGGGGTGTGTTTGCGTGCCACCACACGGGCGGAGCTGCAGCTCACTGAGTGCTTACAGAGCAGCAGAGCGTCACCACGGCGTCCACCTCAGTGATGGTTGAAGTAATGGTCGTAGTTTGAGTGACACAGCTGGAGCTGCTGATGAACTTGGCCCTGTTGAAAGCGTCAGGTTGGAGGACTTCCTGTGATCTCTGAGCGCCCTTCCTCTTCATAAATCTCCACAGCTGTTAAACGGGCAACCCCGTCACCGTCAGTGGGCGTGTTCTACGCTAGGCCATGCTGAGGTGTCCACGGAGGCCTGACAGAAACAAGCTGGCAGCTGCATACATCAGGGCCAACAGCTGGAGGGCCTCAGCACTCCCAGACACCATTAACAGCCAGTCCGTCACACTGGGAATGTTCGGCACGCCGAGGAGACTTCTGTCAGTGTGATGGACATCGCACGGTCAGAAACAGGAAGCTGCTCTCTGTCACTGCTTCAGCAGGGATTTACAAACGTTGTCTTTCTGTTCCAGGCAGAAAAAACGCTGACAGCGTTCATTCGAACCCAAACAAACGGCTAAACCTTGTTAAACTGCTGAACCACAGTCATCAACGTGAAGCTGAGTTTGTCATTGGCCAGAGCCGACTGACCCTCGATCACCAGCTGCAAACGAAAACACAGAGGTCAACGAATCACCATCCGCTCGGCTGCGACGCTTAAACCAGCGTCAGCCTCCAAACTCCGTGAAGCTCGTTACTGATTACTCATCAGTGTGTCACAAACTGAGGAGGAAGAGGAGGGACTGAGATCAGCTGTGATGACCTGTCAGCACTGTGATTGGCCGCCGACATCTTCTCTCACTCTGAATGTTGACCTCTGACCTCTACGTTCATGTTGTGGTCTGGAGCTCATTTCCGTGAACCTCTCTGTACTCGGTCTCTGTTATCGCTCCTCCTCTTCTTCCTCCTCCTGTAATTAAAGAATGTGACCCAGCCGTCTGTTCTGATAACGGCTGGATGGAGCGCATGAAAGAGGAGCGCATCAGGAACGTGGAGAAAGTCGAGGTCACAGGATGGGAAGCCTCCCTTCCTTCTGCTCCGTCCTCCCTTCGTGCTCAGCTGACTTCTCCTCTGAGGGAGGGAGGGTGGGTCTTATCTGTCACAAGCTGGAAAAATGTTTCCTTTTTCCAGAACACATGAAACGGCCCGGAGAATGCGTGCAGCGCTGTTATAAATCCTCACGTCTTCTGCAGTCAAATCCAGAAAAAGTGCAACTTTTAACTGAAAGCTGTGAGATTGTTAGCATAGACTGTAAATAAAGATGTACATAACCACGGTGACATTGGGTATGGAGGATTTGGGCGCTGAGTGCTGAAGATAAGTTTTCCCGTTATGGTTGTAGATGCATTTTTTCTTGGGGGAAATCAGTGTTTCCACCACGGCGACGTTCCTGGAAGGCGCCCTCGTCTCTCGCCCTGACACGTTTGTATGTCGGAGCTTTCGGCGCCGTGCCTAACAGCTGAGGACAGAGCCGTGAACTTTACATGACTGACATGTTTGAGCGTGTACACGCCGGCCGCCTAGGAGCAGGCCGTGGCCTTGACTGCGGTGGAGCTTCAGGATGCGGACTCGTTTCTACGCCCAGGATTTAGGCCTGGAACAGCTTGTAGAAGAATCAGAACCAGCGTTTATGTTTTCATGGATGCGCACTGATCCTCGCTCTGCTCACGGAGGAATTGCGCTCTTTTCATGACCTCGCAGGTCGGCTAGCTCGGGGCTAGCTTTGGCTTTTCCAGCTGTGATGTGGGAGTGCTCCACCAGAGCCCGAAGCCATGTAATGTTGTGTTTGTGTGTCAGGGCCGCATGATGGCACTTTATAAAAAACGACCTGTTTTTTGTTCTCGTGTTTTTCACATCAGAAGCACAAATTTCTTCTCAAAGCTGAACTGAGGTTTTTATCTGAACCTGACTCACAGTGTCTGACGCTTGCTGAGAGTTTTAATCAGTAATGCACTATCCACATATCACCAACACGCGGAGCGTCACAGCTGTCACCCGACAGGAACGCCGGTGGCCTTTAAACCTGTGACCGTTCCACCGGGCACCAACGAATCCAGCGTGTTTCACGCCCGGCCACAGAGGCGCCTCGCTTCACACAGCCAAACCTGAAACTGTCACAAAATGTTGTCAGTGAAATCTGAGAGGACTCGGAGACTTTTCCAGGCTGGGAATTGTGACTTGGAATTCCAGCAGAGAATTAGACAGAGATTCCTGACCCCGCCCCCCGCCCGGCCCCCGAGGGGAGAGACGGGGATGTTCCTGTTAGTGCACTAACTTTAAATTCATAACTCAGACCTGATTCCATCTGTTCTCCTCCACTTATCCTTGTCAGGGTCGGGGACAGACAACCATTCATACTACTGTGGGAGCAGAACACACCAGCCTGATGCTGGAATCAAACTCGGGACCTTCTTGCTGCGAGGCATCGGTGCTAACCTGTTTCTGCTGTGCGCTGATTTTGTTCCTGGGTTTATCCGTTCCCATGGAGACTTTAGAAACGTCCTTGAAGGCGCTGAATAGTTTGGATGAATAAATGTTACAGATGGACTGTGAGGAATGAAACACACACACACAGCAGCTGGCGTGTCTCCTGTACTGATAAACTGTACGAGGAGTGAATCAGTGGTTCTTGTTGTTAGCAGCTGCTCTTTGCTTTGGCCCTGCAGTCCGTCTGCAGACTCAGATTACACAGATTAGAACTCAGATTAGCCACATGGCTGTCCAGCTGACCCCTGAGATGGACTCAGGGAGCACATCTGTGCAGACAGATGCAGCTGCTGCTCGTGTCTTTATAAGACGGCCTACATTTCCGTGAGTTGTGTAAATGTCATGTACTCAGAATCTGCACTTTGTTCATATTTCACAGCTTTTAAATCTTCCTGCATTCCACAAAGTGACCAGGTCACATGATCTCTGTGGTGCAGGTGACTATAACCTGCGTGACTTCAGTGCATCAGGTGACCTTCTTACTGCTCTCTTATTGGTGTTTGCTGAAACGTCTCCTCCTCCTCACGCTGTATCTTTGTTGTGCGTCTCCATGCTTATCGCCATAGTTACCTGTGGCACCAGGAATGTGGAGCCACCAAGGAATGTGTACAATTATTAAACCAGTGAGGGGCCAGACACACACACACACACACACACACACACACACACACACACACACACACACACACACACA